CCAAACCATAACTTTTAAAAGTAAGCTCTATTAGCAACCTCTATCAGACCTGAATTAGCTCATTTCCCTGCATGCCCTAATTTTCATATGAAATTACTCTGATGTTTAAATTCAGCTAATCTAAACATTAGATTGGCTTTAGTAATCCGGGGACAATTTTTTTCTTCTTCTTTTTTTTTTTTCCCCCTTAGGATGACTTTTCTTCTTCATTCCATAAAATTACAAATTGCTTTCATTGCCATGGTTACTTGTTGTTCATTAGGGTTACTTGTTGTTCACTCAGTTGACTCTAGCCAGTTGGTTTTGGGGGATTTTGTGAATTTGGTAAGATAAACCCAGAAAATAGTTGGCAAGATTCTTTTCATACTTTTTGAAGTTTGCCTCAAAATAATGTGAAAATTGTTTGCAGTGTTTATTACTTGTTTTAAGTGGCCTGTAGCTTAAAACTTTTTGCAGTCCGCATAATCCAGAAACGAAATAATCTTTTTCAAGCCTCCTGAACGTATGTCCTGAAAATACATACCTGCATACATACACATATGTTATCCGATGGTGTATATTCTCTCTGTGAACAGGTATCAGCTTCTTAATGAATTGATGTATATTTCACTTGAATGACTATTTCATGCCATTATAATAATTCATTCTTCATTAACAGCTAGAGACCTTAGTCTCCATGTGGTCAAATTTTACTTTTACATGATTCATATGGAACTGTTGTTATTTTGTTATTGGAATTTATAATGATACGCATTTTGCTCTTTTAAATTTTATGTCTAGTTTGATGTATGTATGAATTTCTTGTTTTGTTTCACTTAGCTACTTCCAGAAACTTTGACACCTGTGGAGGACATAGTTGTGGAATATGTAACAGATTTGGTATGCGTTCTTTCTGATTAGTACTCATCTATTTAATTTCTCTGATAATATAACATCGTACTATATATGCCACTTTTTGTAGAGGCAGATAAAGTACTGGATATTGGCTCAAAGAGATGAAAGTTATTAGTTGAGGATTTTCTACATTTAATCAGAAAGGTATCTTTCATGAGAGCTTGTTTAGTTCACCTTGTTATTAATGGACAGTTGATTTTCCCACCTGGGGTTTTATATTTATTTTCTGCTTATCCAAAAAAATAAACTTCAATGCACCTTCATAAATAAACTTTCTCTAATAAAAATATCTCCATTGTTATGCCACCAGATGTCCATTTATTCTATACTGTAAAAGTATCTTAGCACAATGATTAAATTATTATCTTGAAAGATTTTAGTATGAGATATTTCCTTGGCTTTTGTGGGATATGGAAGGTGGTATAATGCAATTGTCTTTTTCTTGCTTTTTGTATTTGAGGAAGTTTGGTGCTTTAAAACTATACTTTTATGGTGTTATTGAAATATTGGTTGAAATTTTATTGATTGACCTGGTAGGATTTGCCAAAACTTAATCGCTAAAACAAGCAAGGAAAGATTTTGAGGTTGATGAAGAAAAACTGGCATCAACAAAGTGATTGATACGTGAGTCAGACCTACAATTTCAAACACAAACAGAAGCATGCCATGCAAAACAGAATCCGTGGATTGTTTGAAAGGGCACTGGCATATGAGAAAGTACTCTGGCTTTGGGATATTGTATATGAAGTTTACATTGTATGCAATCTATCTACTGCTAGAAGAAGGTTATTCATGCCTGCCCATGGTAAGAGCTTCTTCCGTCGATGAGGTTCAGAATGAATTGTATATTAATGTTAGGAAGAACTAAGCAGGTATGCAACTAACCTAGCAACACACCAGATTAAAATAATTTAGAAAATGGATGGAAATTATTTAATTTTCATATCCGCTTGTGCCACTTCCTTCTATCTTTAGTTATTGTTTCATCTTCGTCTTCATCATTGACTTGTTATGCAATCTCCTAACTTTGAAATTATATCTTGGAAAGCAAGAGGAAGTCTCTCATTTCGGGCTTGGCTTGGCGGTGACTCAACTTAATTTAATGCCTATGCTGCTCGGTGTCGGCCTTTCTAAGGTGGGCTTGTAGGTTTAGTGGTGGGTGTTGTTGGACTCTTTTTAAAACAAAATAAACGAAATAAATTCCAGGTTTTAAAAATTAGATTCATGGAATATTTAATTATTTTATAAAGCACATGGCTGATGGCTCATCAAACTCCAATTCTTGGCCACTGGCATTCCTATCAAATAAGTATTTGTATGAAATGATGGAGGTATTTTGATAACTAATAAATATTTTATAGATTTTAGCTTAAGAAATAAGTGACTAAGAGAGAAATTACACTAATTCCAAACTAAGCTCCATTTTTTTTTTCATCGTCAACATGCTTTTAAGATTTTGATAAATATTTTATTAAAAAGCACAATTTAATTAAAGTTACTATCATGTAGCAAGATAATATAGTGACTCCAGGGAAATATTTTTATTCTATTTATTTTACTAATTTGTGAGACCTTTTAACCTTTAATTTCTAAAAGCCAATTTCTTTTTTCCTGTTGTAAATTTTAAATAAGTAATATTACAATTACAAAATCTTCTAACAAAGAGTTCAATTGAATATAAAGTGATGTGATATTATTCTTTAAATGACATATCAATTAATGAGTTGTCTTTGTATATTCACTCTACAGGTTATATTTTACCACATCATTTTGTTAAATATTATTCATTTTAAATGCTTGCATTATTAGTATTATGTACTGATTGAGTCAACACAACTCTCTTGTAGAATTACAAATTCCAAATTATTTTTCCTTTTATTGCAAGTTGGTATGGCAGGGAACATGTTCTCTTTAATTAATTTCTAAGAAATTTCCTTGTAATAAATCTGTAATTTCGGTAAAGTTAATTGGTTGATGAAGTTGTTGAATTATCATATTAACTTGACCAAAACTTACATATTATGGTCCACCATCACTTTAGTTTGATTTTGATATTTATCAATCATTCTTGATATTATAAAATTAGTTAAGGATCTGATTTATTACCAATTTGAATTATTTGATTATGTAGAGTATTAAAGTAATTAGTTAACATGATATCTTTCTAAGAAATTTCCTAACACTTTGTCAATAATTTCAGTCCGATTGGTAGTTGCTTTCACATCTAACGAGTTGAATTCAATCATAAATCAGATATTTCATTTAAACTATTTTTGCAATGACGAACCCAAATAATTGAATTGTAATTGAATCCATTAATTTGTGTTTTTCTATGAGAAGATAAGTACTTTTTGTTTAATCATCTTTCTTGGTGGGGTGCATCACCTGGGAAAACAAACCAGGGTACCGTTTTGTGGGGGTGGCACCATTTCCACCATCTTTGTTCTTCTCTCACTCTCTTTCATTCCAACACTATTTTTACCTAACATTTATGAGCAAGTGTTTGCCACTTGTCCTTAATGGTAAATTTTGAAGGGAGAATTTTAATTAAGTGGGTGACGTTGTCATTTTAAATTTCAATTTTCAATCATTTACTCCATTTAATATTTGCTAAGTGGGGAAGTTTAAAACCATCATTTTATTCTAGAAGCCCTAATATAAAAAGGAAGAATCTTTTCCATACTGAGCTAACATTGATGAAAAGATCAATTTCATTATGATGATTATATGGAGCTTGAAGATGATATATAGTTGAAATTAAATAAAGAAGACAATACGACAATCTCACACATAGAAAGACACCCGATTTACGTATTTCGGCACATCTTGGTTGCACTCCCAGATGTGAGTCAAATACTAAAATAAAGCATAATAGTATTAGTCTAATACACTCACAATAAACCCAAACCCATTGTTACATATATATATATATATATATATATATAACACTTTTATTATTAGAGATAAGCATCAAATTAAACTATCTTTCATTAATATCTATTTTCAAAATATAATTGTTACCAATATTGAGCATTTAATAACATTCCATTTACTTACTATTCATATGTCATCCATGGCCATGGATATATTACTAACAAGATAAAGGAAAACTTGTTCATTTATGATTTTTTTTTTTCCCAATATAAAGTGCTTTAAGAATACTTCCTGCAACAGTAAGATTATTATTCAGAATTAGAAAAAGTTCAACCGATCTTTTCAAGTATACTACAACTAACATTGCTGGCAGCCTTCCCACAAGCACAATTGAATAGATAGTCTACTGGTTTACCTGATGGTATTGATAATGTTGCTAACGAGTCATTGAGGACTGTATTCAACCACCTCTAATGGTTGTCAGTTGGCACTCCTAGCGGAGAAGTTTTCAAATTTTTAAATTTTTAATTAAATAAGTATTTGTTTGAAATAATGCAGGTATTTTGATAATTAATAAATACTTTATATATTTTAGCTTAAGAAATAAGTAATTAAAAAATAAATTGCAACAATTCCAAATTAAGCTCGATATTTTTTTTTCATCATCAACATGCTTTTTAGATTTTGATAAAAAAAGCACAACATAATTTATGTTGCCATCATGTAACAAGACAATATGGTGATTGTAGTAAGTGAAATGATAAGAATATCTTTCATGTATCACAATCAATATTATATCAATTCTTATTTTATATATATTATAATGTTTAACTATTTCTTACATTAATCGTGAAGAGTGTTTATGCTTTAAAGTCTGGTAAATTAAGGCTGGGATAAAATTGAAATTTCGCAGCAGGGTAAGGGTAAAACATAAATCAAACTTTCTTGCGCAAGTGAAAACCAAGATGTATTGGATAAATATGACATTATTTGTGGGCTCTACAGGCGTGCCAGTAATTGTCGGAGATGCTTTATAATTCATTCCTAAAGCCTATAGGAATAAGATAAACCTCATATACAAACATCTCTGATCATCCCACGTCCATAAAATGATAAAAACTTGAAAGCGTGTACTCTTATGGTCTTACTGACTATTGAAATTGCTTAATTCTTACAATTTACAGAAGTAGAGTTTTTCTCTTAATTTCGGAGCAGAGGAGCTGCTAAGTTCAATGGCATCTTTATCATCTGTCCATCAATGGCGATACGACGCGTTTTTAAGTTTTAGAGGTGAGGACACTCGAAAAAACTTTACCGATCATCTATATTATGCTTTAATTCAGAAAGGAATTTTTACGTTTAGAGATGATGAAAAACTTGAGAGGGGAAAAGAAATATCTTCAGAGCTCATCACGGCTATCGAAGGGTCGAGGTTTGCCATCATAATATTATCAAAAAACTATGCTACTTCTACATGGTGTTTGGATGAACTTGCCAAGATTGTTGACTGCATGAAGGATAAGGGGCAAATAGCTGTTCCAATTTTTTACGACGTACATCCATCAGATGTAAGGAAACGGAGGGGAGATTTCAAGAAAGCTTTTGATAAACATGAAGAAGAGAATCAGGAGAAGGTGCAAAGTTGGAGATCAGCTCTCAAACGAGTTGCCAGTATCTCTGGATACCATTTGCAGGAGAGGTACTGATTATTCTCCTTATAGATTGTGGCTTTCTTAGCTTCAAATACGCATATCTACCAATAAATACCCTGGATAATTAAATAGTTAACAATAATTTACTTTTTCCGATAATTTGAAAATATCTGTACTAAAAGTCGAAATATTTTTCATGGAAATTTTATACATACTTTGGTAGGGCAGTATTGATTATTAACATCCCCATAAAATTTCTATTTCGAATGCAATTCTTATATTTTAAACATCTTTCAAAAGTCTTTTCAGTGGTTTGGTTTCAACAAAGATGGCAACTATTATATCCCAAGTTGAGTAATTATATCTTGTAGCATGTTTTGACCAGTATAACATATCCGTTGTTTTGAAATTCTTTTAGAAAAAAAAAAGTCCGTGTACCATATTCATGTTCCTTTTCGAAAAACAATTTAGTACATCATAGCTGATTGTCAAATTATTTTTCCTTGCTTTGTTTATTGCTCTTCTTTGTAGGCATGAAACAAAACTTATCCAAGATATTGTTGAAGACCTATCGAGAAAACTGGATCAAGAAACTCCATCATATATTACACGAGATCTTGTTGGTATGGAGTCTCGAGTGGAGAAAATGACTGCATACATAAAACCAGGATTGGACGATGTTCGCTTCATTGGCATCTGTGGAATGGGAGGGATAGGTAAAACTACAATAGCTGAAGTTGTATATGATATGCTTTCAAAAGACTATGATTGTAAATGCATTCTTCGCAATATTAGAGAAGTCCATGATACAAAAGGCCTGGAAGCTTTGCAACAAAAACTTCTACATTCACTCATGCATGAAAGAAATTTACATGTGGATGATGTTTCTCATGGAATCAACTTGATTAGAAGACGTCTCTACCGGAAAAAGGTTTTTCTCGTTCTTGATGATGTGGATCAAAAAAAACAATTGAAGAGTTTAGCTAGGGAGAGAGAATGGTTTGGTTCTGGGAGTCGAATCATCATTACAACCAGAAATAAACATTTGCTATCCCATCTAACTGAAAACATATATGATGTTAATGGACTGACTTTCCATGAATCTCTTCGGCTGTTTCATTTGAATGCCTTTAAAACCTCACGACCCACAAATGATCTTCTTGAGCTCTCGCAACAGGTGGTGAATTACACGAACGGACTTCCATTAGCTATTGTAGTTTTGGGATCCCATTTGTGTGGTAGAAGTGGTGTTGAGGTATGGAAGAGTTCCTTGGATAGACTACAACAATTTCCAAATAGAGAAATTTTGGAATCACTCAGAATAAGTTATGATGGACTAGAGGATGTGAACAAGAAAATATTCTTAGATATAGCATGTTTCTTCAAAGGAAAGGAAAAAGATCGAGTTATTGAGATACTAAATAGTTGCAATTTTTATGCAAATATTGGAATGGAAGAACTGATTGACAAATCTTTGATAACTGTTATTTCAAAAAACCGATTATGGATGCATCAGTTATTGCAAGAAATGGGCTGGGAGATTGTTCGAGAACAGCACCGTGATGAGCCTGGCAAATGGAGTAGATTATGGGTATATAAGGATATCTACAAAGTTTTGACAAAAATAAAGGTGAGATTTTTTTAAATACATACAAACGCATACATATATACATTATTATTTTAATAAAATCAACATCATTAATGACAGTTCAAGCTAGTAACGTCTCTCTATATTAACTATGTATTAGTTTTTTCTTTCTTATTTATCAGGGAACAGAAGCAATTGAATGTATAATGGTTGATGTAACTCACTCCAGAGATATGCGTGAACGAGGAATCATGGGTCTGCATGGTAAATCTTTTTCAGCCATGACCAATTTAAGGTTACTCAGCATCAGTAATGTTCACCTTTCCGAGAACCTCGAATATCTCTCAAGTGAGTTACGTATTTTCGAATGGAATGGATACCCTTTAAAGTCCTTGCCCTTATGTTTCCACCCGGAGAATCTCTTTGAACTAATTATGTGCAACAGCTGCATTGAATATCTTTGGGAGGGCATGAAGGTATTATTTCTTTATTCATTATTACTTTTATTACAACGCATGTGAAGTCCTTGCAATCGAGTTATTTTCTTGACTTTATTCTGTTTCTTACAGTCCTTTTTGAAGTTGAAAACCATTAATCTCAGTCATTCCTGCAACCTGATAACAACTCCAGACTTTACTGGGGTTCCAAATCTTGAGACGCTAGATCTTGAATGCTGTACGAAATTGCGTGAGGTTCACCCATCTGTTGCAGTTCTCACAAAGCTAACTGTATTTGTCTTGAAGGATTGTAGAAATCTTTCGAGTTTTCCAAGCGATATCCGTGGTTTGAAGTCTCTCAAGATTCTTAAACTCAGTGGCTGCTTAAAATTAGACAAGCTGCCTGAAAACATAGGGGAAGCTGAATGTTTGGTAGAACTAGATATGAGTAGGACGGCAATAAGACAAGTACCGTCCTCCATAGTACAATTGAAAAAGCTCGAAAAACTCTCTCTTCATGGATGTAATGGACAACGACCCCAAACCTGGTTCACTTTCTTCTTGTCATTGTTGTTACCGAACAAAAATCCAGATTCCATGTGTTTGTTGTTGCCACCTCTCTCAGGTTTAATTACTCTCAAAAGTTTAGATCTTAGTGATTGTAATCTTTTGCATGGAGCGATCCCCAATGATATTGGCTCCTTATGCTCGTTGGAAGTTCTAGATTTAAGCGGAAACAACTTTGATACCTTACCTCCAAGCATCAATCAACTTATGAAACTTGAATGTCTTGGCTTGGAAAGATGCAAGAAGCTTCAATTGTTGCCAGAGCTTCCACCGGCAATAGTTTTTCTTGACGCAGGTGATTGTACTTCACTCGAAAGACTATCGCCACCAGAAAAAAGCACTTCCTCAGCATTTTTCCTGTCTTTTGATAATTGCTTCAAACTGGTTGAGAATTACGGCAGCGACTTGGCAGTTATGATGCTGAAACTTTGGCTCCAGGTTCTCCTTCTTTATCTCTCTTGTGAGTCTGTGAATTGATTAATGTGAGTAGCATATATGTTGGTATAGTCCTAGTTAGGGCCTAGGGGTGTTCATATATGCTGAAACTTCGGTTTATGTATTTGAGTTTGTTGGTTACAAATAGAGATGGGCGCAGGGCGAGGCAGGGCCAGGGATCCCATTCCCCCTCCCCGCCTTGCCCAACTCGGATTACGGGGATTTTGCAGGGAAAAATTACCAACGATACCTGGAAATGCCCATCTCTATAATCATAACCAACAAACTCAAATTAAATATAAAAGTACCATTTTTTTAACGCAAACTTGTCGTTTAAAAAATATTTGACATTTTTTTAAAACTATTAATGATTTATGTGGCTTAAAATGTGCTCAATGGCGGTTAGTTAAATTTCTAAATTACCCAATTCAATAATTAAATTAAAAAATAAACTACATAAATTTTGTTGGTTAATAGAGTAAGTTAACAAGTTGCAGAGGTGAATTGGTCTTTTCTATCCATGAATTGGTCTTTTTCGTCTTAGATGATGTTTCTTCAAAAATATAAAAAAAAAAAAAAAAAAATCCATATGTATGGAATCAATTTTCCACTTCCCTTGGAGTTGAATTAACCGCACGAAGCAGCATAATTTCCCTTCTTTTTCAATTTCTAGTCACTCTGAGTCCAACCACTTTGACTTTCTCAAGTGGGGTATAATGATATTTATCTTGTTCGAGTACATTTTTTTTATATTTTATATAGATGATATTGATATTTTAGATAATAGATTTTATGTCAAGTATTAATATGACCCATATAAAATATCAAAAAGGTCCACTTGAACGAGATTAATATTATTGTACCTCAGTCGAGCAACCGGACTTGAGTGACTCAAGTTTTTGCAATCCAAACAATTCAAGTTTCTTCATCAATTTTCCAAAAAAAAAAAAAAAAAAAAAAAAAAAATTTGAATTTTCAAACCAATTTAAATTAGCGTATTCTATTTTTTTTTTTTTTGGTTAAACATATTTGCAACATTTTATATATCTTTTGATACTATATTGTTTCAAAAAACTATAATATTGTGCATTTCATTCATAAATCAAAAGTTTTTTTCATTTTCATGGAAACAATGATATCCATGTCATTAATTGTGAAAGATAGGGATAGAATGTAACTAATTTTTTAATTTGACTTTTTAAAAAGGGTCAACTAAGGGCCTATTTGTTCTATGATCTTAAGTTTGAATGTAATTAATTTTAGTGGATTAAGATGTTTCAGGTTTGCTTTTTTTTTTTTTTTGGCTTACATCTTAATCAATAAAAAACTTATTTTGTCAACAATACCCTTAATAGTTTTATATGATTCCAATTTTGACAAACTCTTATGCATTATGTATTTTTCGCATTATTTTAATTTTTATTCTTATAATAAATTTTAAAAATTACATCAAACAATATAATTAAATAATTATGTTTAATTTATATACAATTTTTTAATTTTCATATATTTGATAATTTAAATTTTCTTAAAAGATGTAAAATATGAAACTATATTATAATTTATAAGGACATATATGTCAAAACACTAGTTTTAAGATCCTTACCTGTATTAAAACATACAATTTAATATTTATAATCATACATTGAAAAAAAAACAAGCATGTTGATCAAACTTGTACATTCAAACTTCATACTAAAACAAATGTAACCTAAGTAAATTTCTCTACTTTTAAATCCGTTTGCTACAGTATTGTTTCACTATTTTTTTTTTTTTTTTTCAATTAAATTTGTTTTGACATTTTCTTAAATAGAACATTTGGGGTTCAAATAGTGTGTGCTTTTCTTGAAAGCAAAAATGCAAGGTATGATTGCTTTTGTAAGAATGTTTTGCACTTGAAAAATTAAATTTGAGGAATAATAATTTTATTGATTGAAAAACCCAATACAAGAACTTTTAGAATTTTTTAGGTTTATTTTTCTTTACTAACTTGACTCTGTTTGTTTTTGATATATTTATTTTCGAACAATAAAAAGATATTTAACTCTAGATATATTAGTTTATTGGTTACATCAGTCTCAGGACTAGACCTTGTAATCTTCCTAGCCCAAGTGTGATTCAGTTGGGCTTAGATAACGAATTACTTTCCAACAACTCTACATTTACATCACTATTTTATACAATTTTCATTACATCATGATGTGATATATGTTACAATCACACAAATTTTTAATTATTTTGAATTTTTAATAATATAATAGAATTTGTGTGGTTATAACATATGCCACATTATGATGTTTACAAAATGGTGTAAAAAATGGTATAAGTGTAGCATTACTCTTTGCTTATACATCATTACTTAGAGTCTTTATTATTGCAAACACGATCTCATGTTACAGAAATACTCTCGTGGAGCTTTTCGCTTTGACATTTGTCTTCCGGGAAGTAAAATTCCAAAGTGGTTCAATCATAGGAGTAATACTCCTTCAATAAAAATCGGATTGCCTCCACATTGGCTCAGTAATAAACTCATGGGAATTGCATTCGCTGTAGTATTTAATATCGGTGATCTTTCAGATTTTCGTTTCGAATGTGACCTACATTTTCAGAAAGGTTCTTTACATTCCCATTGTCACATCGCTCATAAAGTCGTCGAGTCTGATCATCTTTTGATGTTGTTTTTCTCACGTGGGCGAATTGACAAAGTACGTCTCGATATGGGTGATTCTACATATGTTAATGCTATATTTCGAGTTATAAATGGCAAGAATAATATGTTGAAAAGCTGTGGGATTCATCTATTGTACAAAGATCTGGAATATGTTGATCGTCATCAATTGGAGGAACTACGCCAACGAAACTATGATGAAGACTACGAACTCGACCAAACCTATGATGAAGACTCCGAGCATGAGCAAACTTATGATAACGTAAATAATACTAGGATTGCAACATCAATAAATTGAAAAGTAGAACTCATACTTTTTCGGTATCGTATTAAGAGCAATGTATCGCTTGAAGAATTTATTACTTTGTCAATTGTTACAGTATTCTTTTATATGTAAGGGTAAAGAGTAAAGCAGCATGCGGATGAACTAATATAACTGACTTCTAACAGTTTTATCATAAACGACAGTGTGGGGTCCATTTGTTTTCCAAACCAGAGGTGCAGAAGGCAGTGGAAGAATCAAGATCCAGGAGATGCATCATCTCTGATTATGAGGAGCCAATCTCTAAGGGACTAAAATCTTCCAATTTCATTATGGGTGAATCCAGCATGAGGTAAAGAATATATTTTACCTTTCACTTTGCTTAGTGAATTCTATGGTTTTTGTGACCTAAATGGATATTTTTCTCTTTAATTTTCTGAATGATTATATATTTGGTTCAAATATCATTTAATCTATGTGTTTATATGACTTGGGAAATCTGAGGTTCATATAGAGTAAAACTCAAGTAGATGTAATGCATTATTCATATTAAAAAGATAATAAATCTCAATCAGACATTGCTATTGTTATTGATTTGATGCTGATAATATGATAGGCTCAGATGTTTCGATTACTCAAACTAAGAGAAAATATTAAATTTAACTAAATATTAATGATAATAATACATTATTCGTTAATGTTATTGTGATTTTTTTATGTATTGTCATTGTCATTATTTTATTTTGTATAATTCTCAATTTTCTCTGTTATGCTGATTATCTTTCTCTTAGTCGCAATTTTAACCAGGAAATTATACTTAAAATGCTTAATATTCATTTGCATTTAAATTTGTATATTTACTTGTGTTATAGTTGAAATCAAGAGGAACAATCTTTCTGGTCATTATTATCAAAGAGAAAACATTTTTCTACATCAAATAACATGGATTTCAAATTATTTATCAAATTTAAAAATTTTAATTATTATAAAACTTATAATTTTCATTTTTTATGTAATTTGAATTTATATGCAAATTAATTGAGTCTCTTTAGATAATTCATAATATTCGTACCTGACTATTTGCACTAAAAGAAAAAAAGAAAAAACTAATTTGCCTTAATTAATCGAAAATTTGTGTTCTATTAATTATACTTAGGCCACAAATGGTATGCGTATAGTACTAAATAATCCAATACATATGGTATGGTTAAATTTTTGCATTGTATTTACTAATTGAAAGTATATGTAGTTAATATACATAAACTAATGCAATGTGGAAAGGTGAATTTAGGTTATGTTATATTATTTAGCAAATCTCATATTTTATCCTCTTAATTAATTAGTTAATTAATATTATTTAAAGTTTTTTGGAAAAATAATAAAAACTAATTAGTACAACACAAAACAACAAACCAAATGTGCCGTTACTATGTAACTGAAGTTCTATTAGAAAACATTATATATTGTGTATTTCTAAATTAATTGTCAGAGAAATTTAATTTTTGCTGTGACTTATGCAAAAATGTGTCATCAAAATGTACTCATATGAAGACTACAGAGTTGATTCTGATCCTTTTCTTTCTTTTTCTAATGTACGGTTTCGAAATTTTGAATAAGGGAAAGATCTTGTAATTTACAATAAAGCAATCTTGTTAGTGTATATATACACAGTTGGCTATATACATACATGAATTGTATTGATTATTTCTTCATTATATTTTTTGATCATGAAAGGTCTGGGGTGCCTCTGCTAAATGAGAAAGAAGTGGAAGAGTTCAATCCAATTACTAATGAATTCCCTGAAACTTTTAATGGTTCAACAATGGATGTCATTGCCACAACTACACAAAGCCCTGTTAACAATGAAGTGACTACTTCTGATGACGAAGGTGAACCAAAACTTTAATAACTTGAAGAAATCAATTGATCTTCTAATGGGAAAATCTATATCTTGCACTTTTGTTGTATGTGTGTGTGTGTGTGTGTATATATATATGCACACACATACATACAGAGGTAATTCTGATCTTCTTTCTAACCCTATTCTATCTAATTTTGCTCACGATTTCTATGTCTTAAGTTAAATTGCTTACAGTTTAGTTACAGTTTAGATGTATCATAAGGTAATTATGTTCGTTAATGTTCAATAGGTGCAGCAGCTGAGTGATATTTCTTGGTGATCAAAGGAATAATAGGTGTCAAAATAAGGATATGGTACGTGTATTTTATGCCACATTTTTTGGTAATAGCAAAAGTAATCCTAAGTTGTTATTTCTTAGTTTTATGCTTATAATACAAAAATCTCTAAAATCATTGATGAGTGTACCTCGTGAATGATACGTACGGGGTGGCTTTGCCTGACATTTAATGGAAAATGATCAAATACTTGTAACTAGGAAGCTCATTATCTGATTTAGATTGGTGTGATGAAAGTAGTTCTGAATGAGACTTCAGTGCTTGTTATCAATTATGTTCCTTTTCCATTTTTTTCTTTTTCTTCCCTTGTATGTTCAAAAGCATCTAAATCTAAATACATCTGAGTTAGATATATAAAGTTCCTGGGTTTAGAAATCTCAATTGTGATAGCAATTTTTTGTTTCAGGGTTTTGCGAGGAAAATTTTTGCTTGTTTTGAGGGTACTTTCTGAACAAGATCGAGCAGCTTCCTTTGGATTGACATTTTGACATCAATAATGTCATGAGAGTATTTGTTATTTTCTGTAACATTTTCTGGTAACACCAAAACCATAATCCTAAGTTGTTATTTTTTAAACCTATATTTATAGTTAGAGAACCATGAGCTACTGCTTATTCCAACTTAGCTTCCTTTGGATGGACATTATGTTCATTTTCTATCAGACTGTGTTAGAAGCAGATGGCCATGAACCATATATCTCATATTCCCTGAAAAGGGTTTGGGATCTCTGATAAAAGGTGTCCTGGAGCTCGCTAGGGTACCATCATGTCTTTTGTTGAAGAGTTACATAGTACCATGAGCTTCGAAGTCCATTCAAGGGGTTGAATGTCTATGTTTTGACCAAAATTTAACTTCTTAGCTTCTAACTTGTTGATGGATCCTCAGTCTCTATCTTCAGTTATATTCTCAAATCTGTTTGGCTAAAATATTATGTGTAATAATAATTGTGAATCCATGCAGAGGAGTTTAAATGCCATTGTTTGGGTTTTCTTCTTATTAGCTTAAAATTTTGGATTGTAATTTCCTCACACTGGTACCAAATAGGCCCCGGCTCAAGGGGTAGGCAGGTGAGGCACCTGCCTAGGGCCCCTCAAAAATAGGAGTCCAATTTTTTTTTAATATATTACAAAAATGAAAGTGGTCTATGATTTTTTATCCAGGAAAGGGGGGGGAATCCAAAAAGACCCAAATTTACTATAACACAAATAGCATACTATTTCAGGTTGAAGTTGAAGCACCGGCCACTGGAGATATAGAAGAAACTTCTGAGGTCCCTTCGACCGTGGAAGAAAAAGTAGCGACACCTACTGAAGAAGCAGAAGTAGTTGTTCATGAAGATGATGATGAAGAAGAAGAGGAAGAAGTTGAAACTGCATTGAAGGAGGAAAATGAAGAAAAAGAAACTGCAGCACCTCTGGTTGAAAATGAAGTGGATGAACCTGATGCTACTTTTGATGATGATGATGATGCCGAAGCTCAAAAACTTGAAGATTACTAGACTTTACTTAATATTTACGTTTAAGTGTTTTTTTAAGGCATCTTTAACTACATATATATTTCATTTTTATGCATGCGTTTGAGTGTTTGTGAATTCCTAAACAAATAAATAATACATCTTAATTATATTTGTGGTTGAGTATATATATATTATACAAGAATTTTAGGCCACATTTCCTTAAACTTCTGTCTTTTTTAGTTTTTTAGGTCAAGTTTTTTTTTAAATAACCTTCGTTAGTTGGAATCAACTTAAAATAACGGTTGAGAATCAACTTTTTACATATATTTCCACCCAAAGTTTGATAAAATAGTAAGTTTGTACCTCTAGTTTTATATATTCCAATTTGTACCCTTAAATTAATACATTGAAATTTCTTTTAACAATAAAAGGCTAAAATAGTCATTTACATGTCTCAAATTACTTAACCCTAATTCCATCCCAAAATTATAATACGTGTTTTAGCATAGTATAAAATTCTACTGCCATAAATCATGGAGGTTTCACCGAGCACACGTAGATTTTCTCACATCGATTCAGGTGACCTCAATAGTATCATTTGATGTGTCACTATCGCTATTGGCCCTTCAACAAAAATGTTGTGAAATTTTTTAATTCTGTTAAAAAAAACTATTTAATTATTTTTTTAATTAATTAATTATTTTTTTAATATAAAATATTTTTGTAATTTGAAATATTATACATATTAAAAAATAGACAGTAATGATTTTTAAAAAAAATAAATTGCCGCATACGCAATAACCCCAGAAGAGATATCAAACTTAATTTCTTACGCTTAAGCCGCGTAATTTGTTGGTTTTGTTGATCTCTGTGTTCTTCCTTTCAGTTAAGATATCGGCCACTTTCATCAATAGCTCGTCATGATTAACAGAATTCAGGAATTCCTTCTACAATTTGCATCACTTCCTCAATGCTACAACCGGGCTTATCTTTCCCCTTAATACTTTTATGTGGAGATACCTCGACTCCAACTCCAATTTCTTTTGGAACTTCTTGCATATTTTCTCCTAGTATGAAAAGATTAGAATTAACCCCAATTTCTTGTAGAAAATGTTAGTATTAACTCCAACTCCTTTTGAAACTTATTGTCTCTTTTTCCTTTGTGTGGAAACATTAGCATTATCTCCAACTCCTTTTGAAACTACTTCTCTTTTTTCCTTCCGTGGAAGCAGTACTATTAACCAACTCCAATCCCTTTGGCAACCTCTTTTCTCTTCTGTTCACGTAAAGAAACATCAATACTTATTTCAACTCCAATTCCAAATTCGGAGACTATTTCTCTGTTGTTTCCTTGTGTAGACTCACACCAAGTCCAACTCTTTTTGAAACTATTTGTCTCTTGTCTCCTTGTGTGGAAACACTACTATAAATTCCAAATCCAACTCCTTTAGAAACTATTTCTCTTGTTCTCCTGATTAGAAACATTACTATCTGTTAAACAATCCAAAGAAAATAATAAAAAGAGGAGGCTAGGATTTCATTGATATTGCACAATTCAATTGAATACAAAAAGTATGATTTAACCTAAATACAGAGATATATATATATATAGGCTAAACAAAGGAAATAATGAAAAGACAAATCTACCCTTAATAAATAATAAAACAAAATAACCCATATTTCTGAACATCTCCCCTCAAACTCACGATGCGGCAGCTACAAGCATCGAGAGTTTGCCAACTAGAAAACGAAAACGGGAAATATGTTGATGCATGATTTGGACGCCACGCTCGGCGCTGAAAAGTGCTAAGAGAGTCTTAGAAATTACACGTGATGGATCCATGAGTTTGAATATGGAGCTGTAGATTATATATGTTGCAGAAAACATAAATAAGGCTAAAGGAGTTCGGATGCTCAAACACGACTCCTACATCCACTGTTATTTTATTGATCTCTGACTATTTCTATGATATTGCCCATAAGGCATACACGATGAAGAAATACAGTGTTTCAGCGAGAAAGAATTGAGCTTCAATCTATGTCTAGCTCTCATAGGCCCAGCCTCTGTAACGCCCCCTGAGTACGTAGTTATGGTTTCTTCTTTCGCTCTTATTTGAGTTGTTTTTTGGTAATATTGTTTGATTGAGTGTTTGTGTGATGCTTGCCCTGAAATTGGTTGAAAATAGAAGAAGTTCAGTGTACCAGCTTCGCCGGGCGAAGAAGAATCTTCGCCGCGGCGAAGATGTGTTGAAACATGGGAAACTCTCTGGACAGTTTCGCCGCAGCGACAAAGCTTCTTCGCCGCGCGTACATGCCGATTAAAATGTTTGTTAAGTTTTAGATATTTCTTCCCTAAGGGCTATTTGACCTTCTACCCCTAATTAGCAGGAAAAGTGGGGAGTTTAATTGTAAGATTTTTCATGGAAATATGTTGTATGGGGGTGTGTTTGTAATGAATCAAGGATATAGATAGAATTCCCAAAGAAGAGTAAGGGCAAATATGGGAATGCTTGGGTATAAATTTCATTAAAAGGAATTAAGAGTTAGCAAACCCCTCATTTCTTCTCAATGCAACTCTCCACTCTTGTTTCCTCTCAACTTCTCTTTCTTTTGATCAAGGAGTTCTAAGGGGTTTTTGAAGTGATTTGGGGTAAAATCAACCTAAGGCTTCCTAAGGTAAGGATTCTTACTTGGTTGTGAAACTTATAGTTTTAGCTTATATTGAAGTTGAGGGTTTTTGTTCTTTGGTTAAGTAAGAAAAAGTCAAGCAAACCAAGTGAATGGAAGATTTGGTGAGTCTCTCCATAACAAGGTAAATAATCCCAACCCAAGTTGAGATTTAAGATTTTCTTGATTAGGGTTTTAATAGAATGATGTATGTATGTGATATACATGTGATATGCCGGTATGGAGCTTAAATAGAGATTTCTATGCCTTGTGATTGTTTATACTTTCAAATATAAGATGAGTTGTAGTTGGAAGGTATTTTGAGATGAAATTGAAGGGTATTGTGGAACCTTTTTTTGGAAGTGTTTTTATTTGGCAGTTTTTGTGGTTATGTGAAGGTTTTCTCCCCATTTTGGATAGTTAGAAAAAGTTTTAGAATCATTGCTATAGAGTTTTATAATGCACTTGGTTGTTTGATGAAATGCCTAATAAAGATTTGAGTATGAGTAGTGAACCTTAATTCTTGCAACTTGCATGTTGGCATTTCATAAGTGCATTGGTGGAGATGAACCATCCATAGGCACTAATTGTACAATTGGAAAGTGACCTAAGAAAGTGTAGGAAACTTGTGTATCAATTACTCTATGAGTAGAGAGCTTGTGGATGCAACTACTCTAAGGATAGAGAGGATGAAAAATACTAGAATGAGTAAACTAGAAGAGTAGTAGAGATGGTTGATGCTTTGTGATCATCACCCCTTTTTGGGAATCGGGCTGATGCGTTGTGATCACCACCCGAATAGCCCTTAGAGATGGGTCGATGCTTTGTGATCGTCACCCGATGAGTAGTAGGAATGGTGAATGCTTTGTGATCCCCACCCGTTAGTCTTAGAGAAAGGTTGATGCTTTGTGATCATCATCCGACATTTACTAGAGGTGGGTTATGCTTTGTGATCATCACCCAACAGTAAATAGAACGGGTTAATGTTTGGTGATCGTTACCAAAAGTCATGAGAAACGGGTAGGTGCTAGGTGGTTTCCACCCATAACTATGAAAACGAGTAGGTGCTTTGTGATCCCCACTCGGTAGTCCATAAGACGGGTTGTACTGTGTGTTTCACCCGATAGTCATGGAGAGTGAATGGTGCTGTGTGAGCGCCATTCGGCGCGTCGCCGCGTGAAGATGGCAGACGTTTAGTAGAAACGAAATAGAATCAGAAATAGTATAGGAAAAATTAGGGTAATACATACGGGGACAGACAGATAGAGAGTTTTCTTACAGCATTATTTGTGCTCACCCCGTTATTTTCCTTTGTGGTGCAGGATCTAGGTGTTAATGCAGTCGGAGGGGCGTCGGCAAGCGAGGAACAATAGCTACATTGTTTCCCCCTGTTTTGTCTTTTAAAATGAATTTTTGTAAACAATACTCTTTGTGTATAAAAGACATATGACTTATAATGAAAAGAAAGTTTTGGCGCCAATTTTCTATTGTTATTTGCATGCATTGTACAGTTTTCAGCAGTTTACAGCCTCCTTATTCGTAAGAAAAGTGCCAATTTATACACCTTTGAGGTTGTAATGAATGTTTTGCGAGTTGCCTTAACACATGGAAGTTCTCGTCCATTCATTTCTTGAATGAGATGGGTTGGTATGAATATCTTTGAGCAGATATGGATTTGACAGCTAGTACAAAAGAAATTTATTGAACTGACATAAGCGTGACTTTTTAGGCTAACACCCTCTTTCAGTTCCCCCTCTAAAATGCGCCGTTCTCCACCTCTAGCTCTAAACAAGCTGAGGGTTACATCTTCACCGAAGGTGTTTTTAATCATCTCAATTTACTTTATATCTACTTCAATATCACATGTAAGCTTTCATTTCTTGTGTATATGCTTGGGTGCTTCATTTAATTAAATTCTTGTTTGTACGTTAATGTATTGTATTTTGTTGTGTTGATATTTATTTGCTTTGGTTGATTAGTTAAATGGTTCATAATTTCTGTTTTTGTTATTGCTTGTGAATGGCTATCATGTGTTTGACAAAATTCCCCGATGAGAAACACACCCCTACTCTTAATTATTAATTAAAAGTTCGGCCATGGTTTGGTTGTCACAAAGGAGAACCATGGATGAGTATGGAGCAAAGAAAGCAAGAAAGCGGTTAATTTTGTGTAAGATGTCGAAATTGGACCAAAGATACAAGTATCACAAGCCTAGGAAGCTACCAATTATATTTTACTAATTTAGTGTGGGAGCCATTAAAATAATTAAATAAAACTAATTAGACATGCTTTTGTTAGGTGAATAAAATTAAATTCGACAAGTTACACTATTTACATCTTCGTGCTAATTAAGATTAGATTCTTCAATTGCATAA